TCTCTCTCTGTCGCTCTCTCTCTCGACATCTTTCCATTGTATAGTGACGATTTACGTTGTCTTCTTTATCTTTTTTCGTTTGGGCACGTATTCTTCAGAGCAAGCGCAAATTGCCGGCTCTACCAAACCGCTGACAGCACAGAGACGCCGCTTCTTGCACAGGTATTATCGTTATTATCGTTTTCATTCGCGTGTTATATTCAGCCTTCAGTTATTCATTATTATATCACATGCATGGCTCGAATATCATGATTTATATTTAAAAAAATAATAACCAAAACTAACCATGAACACTCATTCATCCGTAATTATCCCTCCATCAGATCACTGCACAAAGTGGTTTCGAACAAATAATGTTCACAGTGTACATTGATAAGTTAAAGACTGTACGTATGTACGTGGAAACATGTAAATAATAAAAACACGTGACAGATTAAAAACTGTCTTATACAAACGTTCATGAGAAATATAACAGTTGAAGGATAAAAAAGATTGAGTGATTTATTACAGGACTTCGATATTGCCACTGTTTTTCGATCAGTCAGTGTAAAAAGCATTCATTCACAAAGTCTCTAGTATTTGTCCAATGTAGTACTGTCTGTCATGACATAGATTCTTACTTAAATAACTAACAGAGTGAAGGAAGGTCATAGGAAAAGTGATCCCTCTTTGGAATGATCTTGTTTTAATTAACCTACCACCGAACCCTTCGACGTGTTCTAATCACTGATAGTCTGAGGGATCATTAGTTCTCCTAGCATGCTGTAATTGCACCACAAGAGTTGCATCTTGAATTTGGTTTGATATAAAACTATAAATCGTATAATTTTTCAAATTTACCATGTCTTCTTTAACACGTTAAACGCCACGCCGGTCCCTAGGGACTGGCCTTAGACTTTTCGTTCATGCTACACCGCAGCGCGCGACGGTCCTTGCGTACTGATTGTGAGACTAAACATTTCGTTTAGGCGACATCGATTTTTGTTCAATCAAAGCTTTCAAAACAGAAATATAGCATTTTAACAAAAGTTAAAAAATTAAAAAGTAGTTTTTTAAGGATTCGTTAGACGTCTTTTGTTTATAGTTCGCCCATCGCGCATGGCCCACTTGATGGCCGAGTGTGGCGTAAACGGAACGGCAAGCAAAACAGGCTGGGCGTTTAACGTGTTAACTACATAGAAACATTCAAACTAAAATCAAGATCACAATTTTCTCTGAATCTTTGTCCACTTTAACATAATCTAACTCAGTACATAGAATATAGTACACAAGATCATTTCCATTGAAGAGAAGTCACTGTATGAAAGTGGCGTGTGTTTTAATCAATCTTCTACTACAAAAACACTGCATCCACATTACACACAGCTACGCAAGACATTTTTCTATTCTTTACACAACACATTCCCATTCTGTCTAAGTTCAATACTTGGAAACAGAGTGTGAAGGGTTAAATATCCACTTATAGACATTTCAAAAGTGTCCAAAGGGTGCATGATTAATGGGAAATGACGCTGGTGGTACGGCGTCTCTGTTCACACAGGTGATAGTATCGTCTCCCGGTTCACCTAGCAGTGAGGAGTCGGAAGCCTCACCGGAGCCGATTAACAAGAGTCTCCTGGGCGGCCTGGGACTCGACAAGAGCAACGATGGGGCCACTATGAACTCAACTGGTCCTGGAACAGAGCAGATCACGCCTACCAGTAGCGTCGACACCGAGGAGGGAAATACACCTCACCCAGAGGAGGGTGAAAAGGGCGTGGAGGGTGATGCAGAAGCCAGTGACGACGACAGACACCAGCATGTACCCAAGACTCATTAAAGTCTCCTTAAACATGTGATTAAACAGGGGGTGTGTGCCCTGGATGGCTTGAGAGTCTCCATTACACTGATAGTTTAAAGAGTCTCACGTTTCTCAAAGAGTGATTATCAAATTGAGAGATGAAGGTGGTTGCAAAGGAACAGTGTTGGTCATTGAATGATGAGTATCTTAGAGAATTAAGATATGTCTGACTGAAAGGTGACCATAATTGGTTCAATTGGTTGAAGAAATTGACCGCAGGCTAGTTGTTGATTGTTGAATGTGAACAGGCTTAAAGTCTGCTCATTGTTTATCTAAATTTATTTATTCTTGGAAAATAGAAGAGATTTGGTTTGTTTTCCTGCCCAATACTGGTGCTGTAAAGCATAAATGTTCTAAAGAGACTGGTGTGAAAAAGGACGATGAATTCGAAAACCTGTTGGAACAGGTGCTTATAGGTTGGTTAGGTAGTTTTTGTTGTTCACGTGTGCATTATTGTTTTATACTGATTAAGGAAGGAAAAGTGAGGTTAAGTTCTTAAGCATGTCGAGAATTTTTCCTCCCATTTTAACCAAAAATTCTTGTGGTGTGTTGGCGAAAACCAAAGAAACGAAGAGATATACCTATCTTCTGATATCATAAGTATATTTAACGCGTTGACTGCTTTGATTTAAGAATCTGACGCGGCGACAATTGCATCGTGAAACGATTTTTCAATTTTTATTAATACGTATGTTGTTCGCAAAGCAACAGCAAAGAGAGGTGCACCAAACAATTGAATCTGATCAGTGCTGTATTTATTATCTAGTCAAATAATTTCCTCTTCGAAAATATTATTGCACTGTTGGCTGCGTTAGGATGGTGTTTGCTTTGTTACATTAACGTTGTGCTTTGAAATATTTATATACACGTTTTCACGTGGCAGTCAGCGCGTCGAATCACGTATATTCTCATGAGAATGTCGCGTTCTAATTGCAAACGTGCAATTTTCATAAATTGAGGCTGAATTTTGTCGCCAGACGCACAATATAAGCGATCATTGTTTCCCAGACGAAACGACGTGCATAATGGGACCACTGCTAATATTCGTTAAAAAAAATCTTCACGAAGAAACGAGATCTGAACGCGGAAATTGATGATCTGACGACTGACTGGAAGCTTTCTACAAAATTTCTGATACGAATTCCTTTTATGAAAAGGGACACACCAAAGAAATGGAATGCAAACAGAAATTTTCACTCTTTAACTGTGAATAATATTGATTTTACAATCATCAAAGACTGCATCGATGAACAGGTTCCTAGTTTGAAACTCCTTGCACAAAATTTCACTGTTAAACATATTTAGAGGAGAACAGAATTCCTTTGTACGCAGCTGAAGAATCTTTCGAACTTCTCTTCAAGGACAAATGCCACAGAAGAGGATTTTCAAACATTTGAACTTCTTTTGTATTCTATGTTGAGATCAATCAGAGCTTCTTTCTCAGTCCAAAATAAAAAATTAGAGGATCGTAGAGCATGTAAACACAGTGAGCATCTGGAATCGTCCCCTGTATCCTAGCCTGCACAAATCTGCACACCGACTGAAAACACGATCACCGATTTACTGAAACTGCAAAAGCAGGGGTACGAAAAAAAGTTTCAGAGAAGATTCTACGATTCATCGCGCACACCCTCAGCTTAAAAAGACTGTATAGTCTCTTCAGGCGATCCTTTAATGGAGTTCAAGGTATTTCTCCTTCAAAAAGAGTTCCAGAACAAAACTTTACCAGCAAAGCTAGCTGCAGAAGAAAAAAGGCGTCATGAACTGATCACACTGGCTTGAAAGGAGAGATGAACAAGAGACAAATTGCAAAGGCGGAGATATAACACGAGGAGATAAAAAAAAAAACATGACTTGACACACAAAAACACGAGAGGAAACATGAAAAGAAAAAATAAAATGTTACACAAAGGCAACACAACGGTCAGTTTATATACAATATACTATATATATACATATACATGTATACACACATAGGCTAGTCACAATATACATGTGCTTTTGATAAAAAACTATTATTTGTAGAGGTTAGCTAGCCCTCATATACAAAGAGAAAAAAAAATACATGGAGAAACTGCTGATGTACACGACGTGCTACGTCTACGTATACGTGCGTGTATAACCTAAAAACAAAAATAGAAAAAAAAAAAGGAGAAGAAACGAGAAGGATAGGAAAGAGAAGAAGAAAAAGAAGTGCACGCAGACGCGTTAAGATTATACATAATATACATAATGTTCATTGCGGCAGGGGTCGAGTAATCGACTCCGGCGAGATTTCTTGTACATGTTGACAATAGTAAAAACCGACGAATGTGGGAGAGTGAAGAAGAAGAGAGGAGAGGCGGATGGAACGCTCGAGCCGGAAAGGAGGAGTCGAATCTCAAACGATAATAATTAAGAGTAAACGGTTAATTGTAACTTGTAAACGACTAAACATAGCCAGTATTATATTGCGTACGTGAAGAAGCAACCATTTGAAGAGGACGAGCCGGAAGAGATCGCCATAAAGAAGTTAGGGCGTAACCCGAGGTTCGTTTGTTCTACGATCTCGTCAACGAGGACACGAGTGACGACTATTGACTATTATTAACATTATTACTATGATTAGTTGGTATAATATATAAATAAACATTTATATCTATATATATACGTGGAAAGAGTCATCGGATGTTGTCATAAGAGTCAACTTTTTGGTACATTGGTTTAGGAAGAGAATATTTTTAAGGCACTGTGCTCCGTGGATAATAAATATTAATTCTAATCTGTTTTTTAATCCTATTTCTCAAAGATAAATAAAAAATTTGAGGCTAAGTCGACTTTGCTAAATTAGAGATATTTAGTTGGAAATATTTGTTCCTAAAATTAACAAGCAAAAAGTTACTTCATCTGACAATCTCTAGTAATTCACAGAGTAAAAATTGGTAACTTTCTCTGACCTAAATGACACTGTTGGTTAAGATAGTATGAATAAATGGTATTTGTTATTTTTTTTTATTTTTTAACACATTTTGATTCTGAATTATTGAAAGTTTGAAGGATTGTTTCCATTACAATCCACTTTTTCATGCTGTTGAAGACTGTGCAAATATTTTTGGTTAGACAAAGTTATTATTAAACTGCATATAAATAATGTATAAATAACATGTCACATACAAATAACTGTAACATTAGAATTGCTGTATATTTGTTAACCCTTTGGAGAGGTGTCTCTTCTAAGCGTAAATTTCTAAACTTTATTTTAACCATGTATCAACCTACTTGTAAAGAACAAGAAATTTCATTTCCTACGAATAAGAACAATTGTGTATCAAGGACAATGTTAATGAAAGTATGCTGTTGAGAGTATTTAGGCCTTCAAGGGGTTGACTGTTATTGCCATTGCTTTCTCAACTCGTGTCCTCAAGTGTGAATGTAATCTGTATAAATGGCATATGATATATCTCATTGTACCAACATTATTCAACAAGATGGCTGGTTAAATTAATATTTGTAAGATTCCATTGACCAAATGTACCATATTATTGCTTTATTATATTAAAAAAAAAATGAAAGGAAATATTTGTTTTAAAGGAACTCAGGATTAAAATTTAAGAACTTGTTGGACAGTGCTGTTATGGTGTGCAAATATATCCATGTGCATGATGTATTTACACATGTATGCTTATGCATACAACCAGTGCGCTCTCATTTTTCCGCACAGTGTTAGTTTAAATGGCGACATCTCGGTAGAGGATGTCACCTAGAGAGCGGTGTTTGTTTCGAGTAACCGAGAATCGAAGATCATTGTATAATTCAGTGTACCATAATTCGCGTAGCCACACCCTAATCGTATCGAACCCCCGACTGTTTGACTGTCGTTCGATGTGCAAACGTGACGGAACGCCAGATACCATTTTCCTTGCTATACTTCTTTTTATCCTCTACACTATGAAATTCTACAATTAAATTTCGTATTTGTGATATATTATTTTGTATTCAAAGAGAGATGATAGGCAGCGACTGATTCTTGTCACAAAACTGCAGTGCAAAGCAACTGTAATAAAGTTTACCGAAAAAGAAAATATTGCAATGTGTAATTGCAGAGAAACATGAATGCAGTAGGAAATATTGCAAAAGGTATTACAATAATGAATACAATTCATGCAATAAGAAGTATTGCAAAAGAAATTGATATAGTACAAGGTTTAAAAGAGGAAATTATTCAATCAGGCAAATATAAAAATTAAGCTCTTCATTCTTCTTCAACCTCTGTTCTTTTTCAAAGATAAAAGTTCTGGTGTCTGGCGTTTCTCGACGTTCCTAATTTTAGTAATAACAATGAAACCACGCGCCCAGAAAACGCGTACCATTAATTATATTATACATGAAAGCACACTGCCGCAATTTTGTATGATTGACTGTTGTTATATATACCGATACCTACATATTATGCTATGTATACATAATTATTAATTGAGACTCGAATCGAATGGCTGATGGATGCCTGTTGAAGGATTTCCAGCTACAGAAATGGACTTAGTACCTCTCTATCTTTTTTTGAGCATTTTTGATCTATTCAGTTTATGAAAAGACATTAAAAATGCATGGAAGTGTTGGCAGAGTAATTTTTGGAAAGATGTAGCTTCAAATGTATACTATTGCCTAAGTAATCCTGAGCAACTGTTCTCAATAGAAAGTGGATTTTTATTAAAGGAATTTTGAAATGATTAAAGGAACATGCTCATCTATATTGAGCTATGAATTGAAAGTGAAAGGAATTCTCTGTTGATAAAAAGAAGATTACTAAAGGAAAATTGTTAAGCACTGAAGCAGCAGATTAACTAGCTGAAAACAGGATGTGACAATCAGTAAATCAGCTATTATAACTGTTTTACTTCATAATTTAGTTAATCTTCTCAGTTGTAAAACAATTCTAACACTCTGTATTTCAATTTTTCATGAAACTTTCATTTGAACAATTCTAAGATGTTCTATTTCAA